CGTACTTGTCGTGGGCGCTGGACGTCGTCAACCGCATTCGCGGCACCAGCCCCACGCTCGAAGCGAAGTTCGATCGCGTGTTGCAGGACTACGGCCTGCTACCGAAGTTGGACAGTGGATGACCAGACGACAGTCCACCGTCTACCAGCCGGGAGCCGAGAGAGACGGTATGGACGACGGCCAGCGACTGAGCGGCGAACACACGCTTTCGGTCTTTTCCATGCTGCTGCTGCTTCACGTACTGTTAGTCGTTTACAACTGTCTTCGTTTTGGTTTCGTGTTATTTCTTTATTCGTTTTTGTTGTTGTGACGCATGATTGGGACCTGAGATTTTTGCGAGTGTTTCATTGCAAATTTTGCAAATTTCAAGCCGCGCTACCTATTGAGCGGTGGTCGCCTGATATCTTTGAAATCTTCCTCTTCCTTTTCCTCCAAGTCTAATCTGTCTTATTCGCTCAACGGGTACAGGTTTGTTAGCTGTTTTCTCTGTTCGTTTTTCCAATTGGAAATTGACGGTGCGTTATCCGACTTATTTGCTCTGTTAACGCTTTATTAAAACTTGGCAACTTTTCATTGCAATTCGATTTATTAAAACAAAAAATAGGGTTATCAAAGTGCAGCCTGTGGTTGCGAACTTCAAGGTGCCATCGTTGTATCGATCGTAATCCATCATCGGCATCCCCGCCGCTGAGAACGATCGGCAGTCAGATATGGGGTCTCTTATCAGAACGAACAGTGGTTGAGCGCATACTCCTGAACAACTGCGATGACTGCGAAGGTCTGTCATGAACTCAGAAGCAGTCATCAAAGGAGTGTCTGGCAACCCACATTGACAAAGCTCATTCTGCCTCAAAAGTACGATCGTTCTTTGGAAAATCATTCTGCCTACAAACGCGGACGGGAGCATACCTAGTCACCGTCCGTATTGATTTCCAAGGAATATACTTAGAAAATGTTTTTGCTGGGTCCTCTACTCTCTGAATAAGAAATATGCGGTGAAACTACGCGTAAAACACTAAATGATAGTTAAGCCCGAGAGTCAATGGTTAATCGAACGCGAATCTTTCGAAATCCAATGTTTATTATTTTTCTCACGCTGATAAAGGGACACCATTTTACGGTTTTGAAACGTTCGTGTCAATTAAACCTTTCATTGTTAGCCATAGTGCCATCTAATGTTGCATTCATAATTACTTTCTGTCCGCTCGTGAGTTTCCAGAACTAATTTGATGCAACGGTGCATGGTTTCTGTTATCAGTGGAGAAGACAACATTTTATGCGAGTTATGATTTCAAAATCTGGGA